ATATATCTCTCCCCATTGCCTTCTTACTGCATGCTTTCTGTTGAGAAATCCGAGCTCAATCTGATTTGCTTGTCTTTGTATGTTACACTTGTCTTTCATTAACTGCTTTTAAGATCCTGTCTTTATCTTTGATTTTGGGGAGCTTGATTATTGTATATCTTGGTGATTGTCTTTTACGGTGTTTCCATCCTGGGGTTCATTGACCTTCTTGAATGCTAATCTTTTCACTTTTAAGATGTTAGGAAAATTTTCTTCCAGAAGCTCTTCAACTATCTTATCACACAAGGTATTCCTCTTCATGTTGTCCAACATGAATCTTAGGCCTTCTTCAGAATTTTTTATCCTATTTTGTGTTTTCTATCTTAGTAGTGTTGAAAGTTTTATCTTCTTAGCTTGCTAGTTCTGGCTTCTATCTCTTCAGTTCTATTCCTTTGCCCTTTCAATGTATTGTCCATTTCTGATATTCTGTTACTAATCGTTTGGACCTCTTTCTGTAGGTTTTGAATTGTTTCCAATGCTCTATTGACCTTGTTTGATTCTTCTTGTAGCGCTTTCCTGACTTCCTTACTTTCCTCAGCTCCACTGTATAGTGTTTTAATACATTTTATAATCATTTTTCTGAATTCCTTCACCGGCATTTCCAAAGCCTGCCCATCTTCCAGTATGGAATGTAGGTCTTATTTCCAGCTCATTTGCCTCAGTCACTTTATCTTGTTTCTGGACATGTGCAGATATGGGCCTCTGCTTCTGTTTATTGGGCTTATTCAGGGGTTATCTCTGGCCTTAATACTTAGGTGAGTTTGTGTTTTGATCTTTTTTATGCTTTCTGATTGCCTCCAGGTAGATGTGCTGAGGAAATGAGCTTCCCTTTTCACTCTTCTTCTTGAGAAATTTCAAGATGCTACTCTTGGTCACTTTGATGTAACTTAGGATTTATTTTTCAGCCTATTTCTTTTTCTGTCTGCCTGTCCCGCTCCACAATACCCGTTCAGTCCTTTTTTCTAGTTCTAAACAGTTCAGTGCTGGCTGTGGCCGCTTCAAGTGGGAACTATCTCTTTAAATTTCAAGGAGCTCTGTGCGCATACGTGTAGTAGAACATTCCCAGGGTGAGGCTGGGGTGTCCACCAGCTCAGGCACCCCTATAGTCACCAGAATGGAGGTGTGCAGACAGCAAGGGACCAATGAACACATACCAAAAGAAAAGACTGTCCACACCTTTATCTCCGCGGTTTTGTGAGGGCTCCGTAGCTGCTCTGATCCTTCGCGTGGTGTCTCCCACGATGGTGGCTCCTGCAGGAGCTGAGCATCTTGAACGAGGAAGCAACGGATTTCTTGCTTCTACCAAAATTTCCCCTATTTTAAGCCTTCCAACCTTCCAAATACTCCTTTATATGTGGTTCAGAGCTCCAGCACCATCCCCTGATCCTGCTTGGTCCTGTATTCTGATACCCTTTCTTGTAGTTTTACCTGTGTGTTGTGTTCAGTCCTTATACTTTGGTCCTGACCCATTTCTTGTGGTTTTAGCTGTGTATTTTGTTCAGTTCTCTCTACTTTGGTCCTGAAACCATTTCCTTGTGTTTTCGTCTGTGTGTTGTGTTCAGTCCTCATTCCTGTGGTCCGCTGAGCCCCTTTCCTAGTGGTTGTACCTTTATGTTGTGTTCAGTCCTCACACCTGTCGTCCTGAGACCCTTTCCTTGTGGTTGTACCTGTGTGGTGTGCAATGGCTTCGTACGTAGTGTCCCTAACACAGTTTTATGTAACCACAATCTGCCAGTCCTCGTGGAATCAGTTTCCGTAATCTGCTTACTAATCTTGACCAAAATGCTTTCACGGCAAAACGTGGACTAAAGTCTTTCCTGTTCAGTGAAGTATTTTGTTTCCTAACAGTTCTTTTTCTTTTCCTTTCAACTTGTGAACCGGGCTTCGATTACTGCATCAGTTTCTTCCAACCTCAGTGAAGAGGAAAAATTATTCAGAGAATACATGAAGAAGGATATCTGGTGCTCCATGTTTGAAGATGTGGCGATATCCTACAGCCGTGGAAACCGGCGTCAAAACCAGGGGAGACATTCTAGGTAAGTGTTGTCCACACAGGTGAAAGCAGTGTTTCCAAAGGCAGTCCTGAGGTGCCATGATGTTAGCATGCGCTCATGCATGCTCCTCTGGACAGCAGGGTTTCACTCCTATGGGTTCAGCAGTTGTCTGTGTTGATGAAGTGAGGCCACGGTGTGGTCCAGCCATCAGATCTCCTCCCCATGTGGTTCTGACCTCAGTAGGAAGCCTCCGTGCAGCGGTGCACTGCTTCTCGCTGACTGCATCTCTGTCCAGAGTGCTGCCTCGGGCTCCTGACACTTTGTGGTCCAATTGGGAGACTGGATCACTGGCAGGACTCTGGACAGCAACAGCCATCGAATGTGGCAGGGCACTGTGGGTCCTGGGTCAGCAGATACCTAACCGCTACAAAGTGGTTTAGAAGCCCTGACCCAGACAGATACCTACATAAGTATGTGTGTTCATGTGTGTAAGAGGTCGTGGCATAGGGCTGTAGGATAAGCATTGAACCACTTGATGTAGGATTGGCATTTCATACCCACCAGCCACTCCACAGAAATCCTATCTGGGATTGCTATCAGTCAGCCAGCTGACAGGCATTCAACAATACCCTATGCTGTCAGGTCAAATCTGACTCATCACAACCCTTCTTAGGGTTTCCACGGAGCTGCTGGTGAGCTTTATATGCCAGCCTCATATAAAGCTTGATGCAAAGTTACGTATGTACAGAATTTCCACAACACAACATTGTGATAGCTGTTTGAGGCAGATTGTGTTTGAAGCATTTTTCACTTTGAGACAAATATCAGAGAGCCTCCTGTTTTAGTAAAATGGTGGCCGTGATGGTAGTAATCGTGATTGGTGTTTTAACATCAGACAAGTCAGGACAAACACCAGGCTTTTTCACTATGTCTATTGATGATGAAACGGCCAATTTATTTCCCACACCTTGCCTGTGTTTTACAGAACTCATACAGTACGGACCCTACGTGAAAGCACCACGTTTGGCAAAACCTCTCGCCGGATTCCTTACCTTGCTGCACTACAAAAAAATCCTG